GGTACTCACAGTGCAGAAAGTTAAGGCCACGCATATGAACAGTGCAGGTTTGGGTCCTAATAAGTAGCACTTAGTTATTAGAATTGACTAAAAAATTATGTGCCATGTAAATGACAGAAATGTAGCTAGTTACTGGGGCTAAGGTTCCTAAGGTGCATAAGATTCCTCTCCTAACATGGGGCTAAGGGTACTGGCTATATGGTTGCAGTGCAGAACTGCCATCTCACCACATCCTTACCTGCTTGTCTTCAGCACACATACGGGGGGAGGGGGGAGGGAAGGGGGAGAATGAGGGGCATTTTTACTTAATTCCAACTACAGATAATCCAAAACAATGAAAAAAATAAAGCAAACATAATTACAAATGCAACATTCCATAATTAGTGCCCAAATAAGCTTTCATCTGTTGCATTAACCATCTTGAGCCCCACTTAATGCTCACCTCTTTGATTTACATCAATTAAGAGTGATGATTCTGCTTGACCGAGAGGATTGGAAGCTACTAGTGTGAAACTGTAGATTTTCTGATTGGTATGCACTGGGAAGTCACAGCGATGTTTCTTATTCAATTTTTTGCATGTAACATTTTCTCTGGATATTCTGTGAATTGAAAAAGAGATTAATTTTAATTTCTAAGCCACCCATTCAGCAGCACTGAAGCTTCTTAGTATAGACTTCATTGGATACAAGGAATGAAGGGCATGTGACTATTGCATTACTTAGTTAATGCAGTGCCATTATTTGCCTGCCCCATGTTGCACTGCAAAGTACACACAATTTAACGCCACAGTGTAGCTTGGACAGGCACTAGTCACAAAATCCATGGCTCCCAGCTCCAAGAGAATATACTTTCCTTCTCCCTAGCACAACCTACTTCATTTATACTTTAATTTTTACTTCCACCCTTACCTCCTCAGAAACCTGGAAAAACAGACAGATTCTGTAGAGAGTCCTTTAAAACTGGGCTTTAGAATCCTGAATAAGGAAAGTATCCATATTCAGCACAACACTTAAGCACTTAACCTTTTATGGGACAGAAGTATTTGCTTAAGTGCTTTCCAGAATCAGGAACTATCCAACCCAGCAGAGAGAGTAGATTCTAGCGCTAAGGTATTTGCACTAACGATGACCTATCACCAGCCTCTTCCCATCTAAACCATGGTCAGCCACCTTGTGTGCCTCAGTTGACTTTCAGGCACCTCTGAGCCACACGAAGAGTGATGTAATCCATCAGGTAGCCAAGACACAAATTATTTAGATTTTTATATGATAAAAAAACCCTTGAGATGCATCTGAAACAAACAAAGCCAGTGCGAAGCACAGAGTACAGTAGAGAGTGCCCTCTTTAAGCAGCCAACCACTTTCCTCCACACTAATGGAGGCTTTTAGGGGTTGTGACATATATTTGGGGCTGCAGAAACTTACTGTGCACTCAGAAGGATGAGAGCTTGGCTTGAGAGTCCTCTACAAATGCTAGGCATTGTGACTATTGGTTTTTGTGTTAACCAGTCCAATCTCATTGTTTCCTTCTGTTCCCACACCTGTTTGTCTTATCTACCTATTATTCACAGTCTTACACTTAGGTCCTAGGCTTTTTAGGACAGGGATCTTCTTTTGTCATGTCTGTATAGAGCCTACTCCAGTTGAATCCTGGACTGAGGATGCTACCATAATAATCTCTCTCTCTATATATATATAAATTATTTTTCCCTGCAGAATGCCAGAATGACTTCATCACGTCACCAGCATACACGTGCCGCCACCCACCTCCACTCTCAGCTGCTTGCTGTGGCCAGCCTCGGCACCATCACCTCCAGCCATGGGCTGCTCCAGCTCTGGTTCCTACTTCATGCCCTGGGAGACTGCACCGCTGGGGAGGAACTGCTGGGGTTGGGTCCCCTCCACCATCTGAGCCTGACGTGACCCTCTCAGTTCTCCCACCCCTTCCACTGCTCCCTCCCCCCTGGCCAGACACCTATCCCCAGCCCACTCCTGCCCTCTCCCCCTGGCCAGACACCCTGCCCCCAACCTGCTTCTTCCCCCTCCCCTCTAGCCAGACACCTACCCCCCAGAGAGAGGGGGGTTGGCAAGCCTAGTGAGCAGGGGGTGCAGCCCCCTAGTAAGTAATAACAAAACTAAACCCATCAAATGTCTCAAAAGAAATGTGCCCCAATCGTAACTATACAATCACAGAACTATTGCAACACTATATTGCAATCATGTGATTCTGTCTTGAAGTCATTTAAAAATTAGTTCTGTCTTCTTGTATGTATTTAAGTGGAGTGTTTTCATGACTGAAGAGGCCATGCAGCAGTTAGTCAGTATCCTAAAAAGCCATAATGTACCTATTTGTATTTTAACTCTTTAATCCTTCCTAATGAAAGTGATTTACCTTTCAAATAAAATATACTTTGTTTGCCGTTGCCCATAGAGTTCAGTGGGTCTGCCTGGATTCCAGCTACATGTTATATTAATAAAGGTACGTGTTTCACAGTTTAGGTTTTGTGGATTATCAGGGGCATCTGTAGCAGAGAAGGAAAACAAAACAATCACCCTGCATGTTCACAGAGCAGGATATAATATAAAAGATCAGACAATTGCTTGGACATCTATTAACTGATGAAAAGTATTATTTTGTTTCCAGAATATATAGCATAAATATACGGTTACAATTATGCCCCAAATCTGCAAACAATTACACATATGCTTCATTTTAAGCACATTAACAGTCTCCACAGTCTAATGCTTGACTTAGACAGGAGTACTCCTGTGTTTGAAGTTAACCACATGCAGAAGTGTTTGCAGGATCAGGGCACTGAACTATGAGCATTATACTATTCTATAAGACATGTTTCAGAGATCCCGAACTGCACAATTTTGCCTCCAAATAACTTAGGAAGATTATTAGATCGTGTGTCGTGTTTTGGCAGCTGCTGGCCTTGCTGCTGCTTAGGAGTCTTTTAAACAATTCATTCAAACAAGTGAACTATATTAAATATTACATTCTTAGTACATGCACTACACTGTGTTTTATTTTAATACTTTTTTTTAAGACCACCACATGTCATCCTCCTCCAAGATAATTTACAAGTCTTCATCCGCAATTTTCATTTCATCTTGTTCCTCAACTCTACACCCCAGCCCTGCAATGACCATAATCCTTGGCATAGGCATTCTAGACTAGTCACTGCAGAATGACATGTCGTACTCTCCCTAGAAACCAGAAATGGTAGGTAGGCTGAGCAGCTGTGATGGAAATAAGCCAGTTTCTTTCTGGCCACTGTGGGATGGAAGGGCTACACGCAGGATTAGTTTGGTGTGAGTAGTAAGGATATCTCCATTCGGATTATTAGCGATGAGAGCATACCCAATGAATATAGGTCTAATGTGCCAGGGGAAGAGTATTTACCTCACCAGAGGTGTAGGTACTCAAACTAACAGCTCTGAAGCACGTATAAACAGTCCAATATACAGACAGTGAGCTGTTCTACTCCCCTGTTTTCCATCTGGTTTCTTATCTTTTCACTTTCCCCTACATCTCAGTCTTGCTGGACTCACAGAATAGGAAGATGAGAGACAGGAGTTTATAAAATGCTGGGAATGAGGTAGCTTAAATATACTAGATCTTCAAGGACGGACACATCTGCCAACCCTGAGTATGCCCCACTGTCACTGATCCACAGTCAGTATTTTGTGTATCCTTGACTTATATTTACATAGAGAGGTCTCCATTTTAAAAGTTCCATAGGACTTGGACAGTATATTAGATGAATACAAAAAAAGCATTTTAATCACTTAAGATTCAAAATCAGTAACAGAATGTACAGACTGAAGGACTAAAAACACACACCTTTAAAAGCATTTAAAGTCATCTATTTGAACAACTGATTGCCACTCTGCTTACTTGCCAATCTCTAGTTTAAGATGGTGTTTATTTTCCCACACTTTAAACTGGCAAGGAGCTGCACTATGTTATTAGAGATATTAGTGATTACCCGCAGCTACTGGAGGGAAAACAAAGAACTCAAATTGTCTGTTAGAGGAAAAATGAACTAAATATTAGCAATATTTTGTTTTAAGATGTAATTATGTTTGTAGGAGGCTTTTGAACCTTCTGACCCTAAAACAAGGAACAAATGATTTGGTATCGTAAATAGACTGAAGTATTTCCATTCATTTTTCAAAAGAATATTTTCCATGAGAAACTACAAATTTTAAATTTGATTCTTTACCACAAGGCACCCAAAAACTAGTGCACCAGAGAGGGAAGTTCAACAATCAACCTGCCACTTTGAACACATCCCTATGTATATGTGGTAGTTTAACACCAAGTAACATTCAGAAGGAAATGCTGGTAATGTGAGGTTTTACATCTTGGCTTTCTTGCCCCATTATTTACCTTTTCAGAATCAAATCTGAAATTCTAGGGCTTTGCAGTGCAATCCCTAGTTTAAGTGTAATAGCTAATGTTCAAGCAATCGGCTGCCAAGTGACTACTGAATCACAACAGGCAGAAGATAACGCTTTTGGCAATCACAAAAACTTTCTGCTAAGTAACAGCAAATAGTCTGGTAGCACTTTATAGACTAACAAAACATGTAGATCAGTGTTTCTTAAACTTTTTGAGACCATGGAACACCAAACAATATTTTTTATGTGGAACACCTATGAAAATTTTCTACAAAAAAAACCTGTCGTCAGATAAAAAAAAGATAAAAACAAAGAAGAGGTCGCAGCACACCTGCGAGTTGTTGATGGAACGTCAGTGTTCCCTGGAACATAATTAAAAAACACTAATGTAGATGGTATCATGAGATTTTGTGGGCACAGCCCACTTCTTCAGATTTGAAGAAGTAGGCTGTGCCCACAAAAGCTCATGATCCCATCTTCATGTTTTGTTAGTCTATAAAGTGCTACCAGACCATTTGTTGATTTTTAAGTTTATCCTGTACAGACTAACTTTGCTACCCTCTGAAGTTTCTGCTGAGTGTCAGTGTTTTCACTGCTAACATTCTACACTTAAAGCAGGGAATTATGTATATATGATGGGCAGAAGCCTCTAAAATAAGAGTGGTATTAATTTTACTTGTGAATAAATAGTCACTACCTCTTGACAGCCCAAAAAAAATCAGGAGAGGGTCTTCTTCTGTCACATGCCAGTCACTGCCCTCTTCAGAGATCAGAGATCAACAAAATGATATAAAATTGCTATTTTGATATACTCACTTGGCTAGCAGGAAGTTGAGAATGGAAATGCTCATCTAACCTCTTGGATAGTGGAGGCTTCGCATATTCTACTCTTGTCCCTCTATGCTCAGTTGGGTGAGGGAGTTCTCAGCAGCTTTCTCTCCTCCCACCCCACATAATCTCATCACAAGTTTGACGGATCTGGGGCATCTCCTCTTGTCCTCCCCATGATCATGAATAATAGTGACATGATGGCTTTGATCCGCCAGGTTCTAGTGGAGATTATCTAATTCTATTCTGTTTATACTGCATCCTTATCACTTTGGCATGGGAGCATTTGGGGAGTTATCTGGGTTATTAGGATTAAAACCAAACAGTTCCTCCAAGCTCCAAAATGTAATCTATCCTTGGAAGCCAGGCAGGCCAAACTAAGCCACTGTTTTAAAGCAAGAGAGCTGGAGTCACAATACCATTAGTTTCCATGTTCTAGTTTGATTTTCTCAATGTGAATAAACCATAGTGAACTTCAGTTCAGTACGGGTATTGTATACTTACGTCCTACAAATAATACTGTTCCTGCTATTTTGTTATCTGGCAGCGAGCACCATACGTTTGTCCCACTAGAAATTGAAGCACTGACATTCTGCACTTTGATTGCACTGCTCTGTTTGCTGAGGTGAAGGATTGGATAACTTTCTGATCCATATTTCATGTCTTGTATACTTTCCCCTTCGTTGTATAAACAGCAAAATGTCACATTTGAACCCACTAGTACCACTTTGTCCTGAGGAAAAACCTCAGCGCTATTGGGCTCATTATCTTTTCCTAGAAAGAAGAAAAATAATACATAAACCAAATAACTTTTATAACACAGTAAGATTACTTTCTTATATATTGAGGTAGTCAATGCTTACACAGCTTAGGAGTGCTCAGACTACCGTGTTATGCATAAAAAAACCATGTTGCAAAATGTACAGAAATCTATTTTAAACAATTTTCACCAACTCAAACCATATGACCACACTTTACATATCTTTAAATATGTAACTGAAATAGGCTCACAAGATCCACAATAATCTATCAACTCTTCAAATTAAAAGGTAATATTATTCAATGTTTACTTTGAATTCAGTCCAGTTTTAGAAGTAGCTAAATTCTGGACAACATGCAAGAAAATAAGCATACCAGGAACTGTTTTAACTGGGCTCCATTCACTCCATTCCTTCCTACCATGAAAATACGATTCATTAATATAACATCTAATTTTCACATAGTGTGAAGTACACTCCAAAGGTATATCAGATGTCCATTTCCAAGAAAGAATAGTGTCTTTACCAGTCAATTTCGAATCATAATTCACCTAAAATGAAAAACAACAAAAAGCTCTCACAAAGATAGACATTACAAGCATTTCAACATGCTACATTAGTTAGTATTACAGTAAAACTCCAATTGTCCAGCATCCAGTGGTCCAGCACTCCCGATAGTTCGGCACCAACTGGAACCCGCAGCTGCTTCAAGAAATTGTTAGTCAATTACAGTACTGCTGGGTGGATGCAGATGCAAGCCGAAGCGGCAGAGAGGGGGTGAGAGGCAGGCCTCCCTGAAAAATGACAGAGGGTTCGCCCCTTGCCGCACCGTTCCCTGCCTCCTGGCCCCCGCCGGAGGGAGTAGAGAAAAGATAAATTGCGAGCCTGTCACCTGCGGATCCACACAGCGGTACTGTAATTGACTAACAACTTCTTGAAGCAGATGCCTGCCTCTCGCCCCCTATTCACCGCCGCCGCTTGCAAGCTTTGCCTCCCTGCAAAATGGCGTAGGGTTCGCTCCTCGCTGCGCCATTCCCTGCTGAGTTCCCACTCCCCTGGATGCAATGCGGGTCCCGGCAGACCCATCACAGCCCCCCGCCAGAGTACCTCCCGATAGTCCGGCATATCCAATAATCCAGCATCACCTGGGTCCCAAAGGTGCCGGATTATCAGAAGTCTACTGTACTTAGAAACTGTGCTTTTCCCTCTGTGAAAATTTTTACCCCAACCCACCACCAAAAGTAATGAAAAAATTGACATCTGCTGAAGTTTTTCAAGTAAATTTCAATGTTTTGGCAAAAGTTTCAACTGAAAACTGTAAAATATGAAATGCTGGCCTAGTCTCTCATGCCCCATTCTACTTCATGTGCCAGGCTCCCTACCTGGATCAATATCTCATGTACCACAGACTCCCTTCTAATTGAGCTGCCACACTGCATCATGGCAGTCTATGGCATCTCTGTATCATGGGAAATGTAGTTCAGCTAGGGAACTGATCCCACAAAGTACAATAGGGTCAAGAAAAACTGATAGCATTTCTGAATACAAACTAACACACACATCCATTTTGCAAGGTGCTATGTGAATTTAAAAAAAAATGTTACCTAGGGTATTCAGATATAAAAAACTTTATCACAAACATTTTGCTTTCTTTTTACATATTCTTTTATTTTTTAAAAGATATTCTTTTTTTAGATATTCACTCTAGAATGAAATGTTTCTATGTTGTAGGTGTCTACTCTACCTTCATAGACATAAAAGACTGAACACAAAGTGGACACAAACATAAAACAGGAAGTATTATTATTCAGTGCTGTTTTCTTTAAGAGAGTATTCTCACTGTTTAAAATTTGTAATATTATATTAAGTTAGCTTTTGTCTTTCTACTTCAACAAACTGAGCTAAGTTTTCCTTATATTACGAAATGTCAATAATGGATGAAATGTAAATCTATGATCACTATTTCTTAAAATTATTATTTCTCTTTTTAAAGTCTTGAATTGCCTGTCATTCCTCCTCCCCAATAGCACTGATGTCTCTCACTTATCAGTGTCCTCCTCAGAACTCTCACTTTTGTTTTGTCACTCCTGTCATGGCATAATATTTGTAATTAGGTTGTGAGCTCTTTAGATGAAATCCAGGTCCAACTGAAGGCAATGGCAAAACTTCCACTGACTTCAAAAGCAGCCAGGATTTCACTCTATGCCATCTTATCTGTGATGTGATGCATCACAAACTTGTGGATTTTCTGAAAAGAATAATATGACAGAATTTTAACATCAGACCACTATGTGAACTAAGTTGGTTTGGTTGTTTTAAAAGAGCAATTAATGATCTGAGTAAGTCCATGCTTACAATCTACAGGCAGTCCCCGGGTTACATACAAGACAGGGACTGTAGGTTTGTTCTTAAGTTGAATTTGTACGTAAGTTGGAACTGGCGTCCAGATTCAGCCCCTGCTGAAACTGACCAGCGGCTGACTCCAGGAAGCCCGAGGCAGATTTTCTCTGCCCTGGGCTTCCTGGAATCA